ACCCAACTGGAGGCAAGGCAGCTGGGTTGTCACCTCCAAGCATCACCAGTCTCTGCCTGAGCATGCCCTCCCAGGGACAGAAACCCTCGGCACTTTGATCTCTTTGCACTGTGGGCAAGGTGGTTTGGGAAACTTGAGAAAGAAAGCATCCATGGGAAGTCACAGGTAGACGTGATTAGGAACAGAAGCACTCACATGCCAGAGGTGAGGCGTATAGACACAACGCTGGTGGTGTGAGGAGATAGTCTCTGCCCAGTGGTAGGTGACTGTCCTTCACACGACCTCTAGGGAGCATTCTGAGTTGTCTGGAGCACATCTCAGACTACTTTCCAAGTTCACACTAGCCTCGCCTCCTCCTGGCTTTCCTTTTGTTCCCGGAAATTTTACCCATTTATCTTTGAGCATACCATCTGGAAAAGCCAATTTGGAAATGGAATTTCACTCTGTGCTTTCTCCCCCCCCCCCCCCCCCCCACACACCCTACCAGCTTCCCCGCAACACTCACACTCGCCCTGGGAGCCAGTCGCCCATGTGGGCGGTGGCAGAGTGAGGTTCGATCATTGGCATTCTTTTCAAGGACCTACCATAACATGTTGGTTTTCTAATCTGGAAGAAAAAAAATGCAGGTAGCTCTGAAATGCTCAGTTCTAGATGGTTCTCATATGAGCAACCACATCTACGGGGTTTCTTATCCCTCCAATGGATGGTAGGCTATCCTAGTTGAAGCTCTAGCTTCCACGTTTCTGCTTTGATTTGTAGACACATCATAGGACTAAAAGCATTGGCCGAGGACCCTACAGGCAGCCTGATATCAAAGTACCTTGTTACAGACATGTCCCGGCTTTGCTTGTCCTGAATTTATTAGAGGCATTGGATCCTGAACTCTGTTTCCACTAGGGGACGGGAAGTTGCTCTCCTCTATTTTCATTGCTAATAAGAAAGCCTGTCACCCCCAAGTAAGCGGTAGGGGGGCCATAATCCCATAAGTATCCAGAGTGCCCCTTCTGCATCCATGTCTCCTGCCTCCTGCCCCTGTTAGCTGGGTGAGCCTCGCCGAACCCGGGTTCTCATCTACAAACTGGCAGTTGATCACAGTTATTTACTGTGACACAGTGAGAATTTCATGCAGGCAGGAGACCTAAAAAGCCCTTAAAAACAGTGTTTGGCACATTCAGAGTGCTTGATAAAGGCTGGCTGTTGCCTCGTCTGGAAAAAGAGGTACAATCTTAAAGTAAGACTTTGGGGGAAAAAAAAATGATGTCCTTTTCGGCCTTGGGATCTGCTGAGGTGGTCTTGTAGGGCCTCAAGTCTCATCTCCTTCCCTGGGTTCCCGTGCCGTGGCCTTGCGTGGTGGTCTCTGTGCCTGAGAACCTTGTGTGCATTTCCCTTGAATTTCGCCAACCCCTGCACTGCATTGTGTGGTCCGCAGCCATGCTTGCGCCCGTTTGAAGGAAGCCCTTCCAGGTGAAAAGCTGCAGAGCCTGAACCCAAGGCACAAAAACGTCCAGGTAAGGGAAGGCTGTTAAGGAATGGGAAGAGCTCTCTGAACCAGGAAGATGGTCTTCCTCTCTGTAAGGAGGACAGGCTGCAGGAAGGTTCTTACTGGCTGCAAGCTACAGAGGGCAGAGAGGGGGTTTCTTGGCTTGCTGCTGCTGGTAGCGCCCATGCCCAGAAGGCTGGCAAGTCCCCAAGTTGGGTGGAACCCTGAGCCACTTTGTGCAAACCCTGCCCCACTCAAGAGGACTGCCATCCTAGAGGAAGCTCATACCCGGAGCCCATCCTACTGCTCATTGTTTGACTGGCCTAGGGGGCAGGAGATGGAGGAGGCTGGAGGGGTAGGGCGGCACCCAGGGCCATCAGAAGTGGCGTCTGGACATGTCAGTCTTCTCCAGCCCCAGGCCTCCCTGGCTGGAATTCTGTTCCTGTCCCTCCTCACTGTGTGCTTATGGGCATCTGGAACCTTCTTCGCACTCACCTGTGCCTTCACCTCCCAAACCCGCTAACACCATACATTGTGTTTCTAATACCTTCATATCCAGAATACCTCCCAGAGCACCAAGGTCCACATAATTAAGCCTGTATAAACCTGAATCAGTTGTCCATCGTCCTGAATCTGGATGGCGTGGATAGAAAAAGAGACAGACAGGTGGAAGGAAGGAACAAAGGGAGAGAGAGAATCAGAGAGGTTGCCTGGCCTCACTCTGGAGCAACTGGAAAGCTGTGGGACTGGTGCGTGGTCATTGGTTAATTTATAAAGTGTCCCCCCCCCCCCCCACCTCCCTGCAATTCCAGTGCATGGGCGAGGTGGAAATCACGGCTGTCAGCAGACACACTGTATAAACGTTTACTTAACCTGCCATGTCTGTGTCCTCTAACACCATAGATGCCGTTCTGACGAATGCCAGGTGTTTAAACTCTGTGCTAGACACATCTTGGAACAAGTAAGCACAGCCGCTCTTCAGGACCCTTGCAGTTAAATCCACAAACTACAAAGGTGCCATCCTTCGCTTTACAGTCAAACATGGAGAAATGATAAATATTGACAAATAATATGCAAGCTTTCTGGAATCCTGCACACACGAATCATTTGCAAAGAGTTATTAGAGTTCAAATTTCCACTGACCTAAGTTGTACGCGATGGGCTGTTCCAAAGCTCGAACCCCAGAATTTACAAAGGAAGTGACCAGGAATGTGCTCCACGACCCCACTGTGTCCCAGCCTCCTGGAAGCCCATGCAAGCTGCGGACTCGTTCAAGGAAAATACGCACCGGCACACAGTGTCGGGATCCACAAGCCTGCTCTGGTCCCCAGGTTAAGAATTCCCAATGCAGGGAGCTTCCATCACCACATCAAAGAGAGGAGAGTAAGCTCGAAGGCGACTGTGTTTTCTTACCCATCTTGGCCAGGCAAGGGATCTGTAGGGAAAGAGAAAATAAACTTTAGAGAAAACCTGGCACGGTCACCGAAGGAGTAAAACTAGATGAAATAATTTGAGCCCTTTTAAAATTAGAGTTGTTGTTTTTATGGCTGTAGCTCTAGCAGAATGGGAAGAATTTAAATCCATGGAGGGATTGGCAAATGCTTTCCCGATAGAGCAAACTCCGTGAGCAAACAAATGGGCCGGGGTGGCACAAAAAGGTCCAGTATTGCAGTGGAGTGAGGACTGCTGGGTTTTGCTGGAGGTGAGGGCACCTCAGCGGACACGGGAGGACAGAGAGCCATGTAGACAATAGGGTCAGGTTTCTGTCGTGTGGGCATGCCCCTAATGCCTCAACTGTGGGGTTGAGTTCCTGAACTTAACATTGCCTCCCCTGTTCTGTGAGTCTCCCTCTCCTGGTGACCAGACAGAGAAGGTGGGGCTCAGTATGGCTGAAAGAAGGGCTTGCCGTCTCCTGAACAGGGAGGAGATGCCAGAGTTCTTGCGAGTTCCCAAACCAGGAAGGTGTGTGCCAGCACCCTGATCTCAGGATTCCTCTACCTGTGGGAACCCCGCATGGAGGCTCCACAGAGACATCGGCCAACTCTTACCACAGCCCCCGATTCTCAGAGTTAAGCTGCGTTCTCTTAGAGGGGCTCTCAGAGAGGGGGTCCTGTGGGATTTAAACACCAGCTGCCCTGTTCTTCCTGATCTGTGTTCACCGTGCGTGGCAACTACCCCTGCTCCATGCCAGAGACGTGTCTGTGCAGAAAGTCAGGCTCTCTGGTCCAGTCGGGGCTCTTTCCTTCCCTGGGACAGTCCCCCGATGTCACGCCTTGTTCTTATCCATCCCCACCCCCACCCCCCACCCTCCACCCCCCGCCCCGGGACTCCTTTCCTTTTCCTCCTCCTCCTTCTCTTCCCATCCCTCCTCCTCCTCCCTCCCTTCTCCCCGCCCCCTTTCATTAGTGCTAGCCCTCTCATCCTTTACTTTGAGTAGAAAGCACCCTGGGAGCCCCGCCATCGGTCTCTGAGCCATCGGGTCCCACGGTGTGGTGAACATGTTTCGGGAGCTCTGTGTGCATAAAAGGCCAGACCCCGCGGTCTGGAGCGCCAGACGTCAGCGACCACCCTGCAGTTATGTGACATTTGAATCTTTAGAGACGGATCTGGTACGGGGGAAGCTTGGGCCACTGAGGCTCGGAAAGCGTGTCTTCTAGCTGCCTCCTCTGCTCACCCCCACCCGTGCGCACCTTCCTCTCGTCCTCCCTCAGGGAGTGGCTGGGCCCCCGTGGGCCTTTTCCCCACATACATTATGGAGGAGCAGACGTCTTGTAAAAGGGGACCCTGAAGAAGCAGAAGCAGAGCCATTTAATTAAACTAACATAAATTGCTACAAAAATCATCCTGATAATCTCACTTGGGTGCATTTCCAGATGCGTGTTTATAGGAAAAAACAGCATGTCCAAAAACTCACCATTGTTACAGCGACTCCTGTCTGCAGGTGACACCTGGCTGCTTCTGCGCTTGCGCCCCGTGCTTCCGCGCATGCGTCCTGGCGCCTCGCTGTCCCGTCCATGCCTCGCCTCTGTGCCTCTGCAGCTCTGTCTCACCACCGCCCGATAGCAGAGCCACGTCGCCCTCAGACACCTTTAAAATTCCGTGCACCCCATTTGAACTGACTACCGACGATGGCTTTGGAAGATCTAACATAAGCAGCATGTAGATCTCAGGGAGTGGGGAAAGAATCCTGATCTCCCAGATGGATAGAGGGGAGGAAAGCATTTAGGAAAGGTAATCAGCACTTTTCATAACCGTCCATAAGCACCTGCTTTGGGGAGCCGAGCAGACCCCAAAACCGGGAGAGATGGTGTCTAAGACCAGCCAGTGCCACAGATCAGGCTGGAAATGGTGTGGGCTTTGTTTTGTTTGTCTTTGATGTTGCGTCTTTGAAAGCTCTTTTCAGGGATGATAGGAACACACACGGACCTCACAGAGACACACGTAGAAATGGCGAGTGTTACCCATTGTCTGCCTGCCACACCTCGGTCACTCAAAGTTGTTCTCCTCTGCTTCTCTCCAGTGTGGATGGAGCCTCCTACGAAGTCATGCAGATCGATGTGGAAATAGAGGAGCCCAGTGACCCACCGGCCACACAGCTTGTCACGTGGCAGGTGGAATATCCAGGGGACATCACGTCCGACTTGGGCATATCCAAGATCTACGTGAGCCACAAGGACGTGATGGGTGTCATACCGCTGGCCATGGTAAGAATGTCCCTGCCTTGCGTGGTCCGTACAGAATCCGAGGGAAAGGAAGGCTCCACACTGTCACCCAGACTGGGTGGGGACATGTCAATGAGCCGAGAACCAGGGTCGGGCGCACCAGAAGCTGAAGTCTGCTACAAAGACTTCAAACAAGGCTACTACAGAGACCACAAAAATACATTGTTTCCAAGTAGTGTTTTCAGAATATTATTTAGAAAGGCATTAAGCTCCAGGGGTTAGAGTTGGACCTTCTGTGATATGAAAATTACTGATCATTTAATAACTGTGTTTCTGTCATACATTGTGGGCTTTAAGGATCTCAGATACACGTACACCTGCAGAAACCAAAGAGATTACGTTCATGAGTGATGTGGCAGGTGACGTGGCCGACACCTGCCCAGTCCTAAGTCTGCAGCTAGTCCTTACCGTGTAGGAGAGCCGATGTGGCAAGCCGCGTTCTCGGTTCTTAAGATCTACCGATTTCCCAGGGAAGCCATAAATATAGTTCGAATGTGCAACGTCAGCCTAGTCGTGTTGGCAGCTAATTAGAAGCAAAGAAAACACTCTATAGGAAAGCGTTACTATATTCATTCATGGGGCGTCTGTTTACAGCTCGGGAGAGACCGAAGACTGTCGGTCTGCGTGCGCGCTCTCTAGGACTTGTGGAACAGGGATGGGCTTTCATCCGTGAAGGGCCGGCCCTTGTTTGTCCTACGGTGCCTGTGGGGAGACCTGTCATCCATGTCCCCTGAAAAAAACACGCCGATGCCCCGTAGAGCTCTCCCTGTCCTCAGGCTCTTCAGCAGCCCCTATGAAGGAATATGCATTTTTTAAATGGGAATTTTCACGGCACCAAAGCTTGGGCATGTCTATCTGCTGACAATAACGTGAGCTTCTCCTGTTACGAAAGTACTTTCCTGTCAGAAATGAAGCACGTGTTGACCTACTCATTGACTGCCCAGCGTCTTCTCTACACCGTCTGTTAGGAAATATCGGTGAGTGTTATTATGGAATGCAGACAGAACCCCGGGAATCAATCTTTCAGTAAGAGGTAGCGTGGACAGTTGCCTGGTGACAGCAAGTTAGTTATTATGTGGCTCATCAGGAGACGGGAAGGGGTTCGGGGTGCTCTGTCGGTAAGGGCTCTGTTAACGACTTCTTTTATTCGGAAGGCATCGAGCCTCCCCTGGGGCCTCGTTGCACGTGTGACGGTAGCATTCCTTAGGATAGGCTCTTCGTGAGTGGTTTCTATTAGTGGGGATGGCAAGACCATTTGTCTTGAATAAGGAACTACTTGAATTTGCTCCTTTTCAGCACCTTTGGTCAGATGGGCTGTTCGCAGGGCTCGGTACAGCTTCGGTGGCTTTGCTCGGCATAAGTTAACCTCCTGTTGTTTCCCACACTCAGCATTTCCCCTGCCTTGTGGGTCCCTGACACTCCCGTCACTTCTCCCAAACCCCGCCGGTCTCCATACCCTACATGAATCCCCACTCCGACAAGGTGCCCCTCCCTCCTCCGATGGTCTCTGACCATTCTCATCTGACCTTGCCCGTCCAGCTACGATGTGGCGCTGTACGAGTGTGTCAATCTTAGCCAACACCTTGCTGGCCCTTCTACAAACTGGAAATTGCATTCGGTGGAAAGCAAGAGAGCTCCTCAACCGACTCAGTCTACCTTAGCACAGCCAGTGGGGGCTTAAATACGTCTGTGTTTCCCTTTTCACATACAGGGGCTCCTCAGATTGCTGGTGTGGTTTTGGTAGGGTGCCCCTGTGCCATCGGAGACCCAGGCTTTAGTTTGAGGGCACGAATTCCATGCTTATGGTCCAAGATAGGTGCTGGAGTGCCGACCAACTTACCCATATCCTGTAGACTGGAAAAAGTAAGAAATGCACAAGCTCAAAGATGACCAGTTACTTTTGCCTTTCAAGAAGCAAGGATCCAGCATAATATTTCTGGTCACATCCATTTGGCCAGACCTCGGTGAAAGGAAAGCTGGTTAATCTTTATGTTAGCATGGCTTGTTGCTTAGACCCTGTTTCAAGGAAACAAAAAGGAAATAATTATTTCAAGGCAATGGGAAGATTGATAACAATCCTCCTTTATTTCCACGTAAGGAAGCGGAGGCTTAGAGGGGTCACTTGTCTTGGCCCCTGAGTGTTTTCCATTCTGTGCTGGTTTTCAGGAAACTCCTAGGAAACAAAATCACATAATTAAATCCCAGCCCATTCTTACTTCACAGTGTCTCACTTCCCCATCTCATGGGGGGCAGAAACGACACCTACTCATAGGTTGTTGTAAGGATAAAGTTGATAACCCAAGAGTGCCTGGGACAGTGTCCAGTCCGGGGCAAACATACAATAAATGGTAGCTATTATTATGTTCGTTTAACCTCTGGATACAAAGTGTAAACAGTACCCTGACGATAATATTATAGGTTCTTTCAGGAAGGGGATTCGGCCCCAGCCCCCATATCTTACGACATAAGAATGGTGGTAGACAACGTATGGGGGCTCACAGATTGAACTGAGTTGAATGAATTTAACTAGAACACATTTGTCTGATGAGGCTTTCCTAGTGACCTTGGAGCATCTTCCTCTATAAATGAGGGTGAAGTCTTGAGGGTCCCAACCCCCCAGTCTTTCATATTTGGAGTGTTCTGAGAACCCCCCTTCCCGAGAAGTCTGCTTCATTTCACCTTTGACTCGACTGGTGAAAGAACTTTGGCCATTTTTGGAGCAATTACCCTCATTAATTGAACTCTTTTGCGAATTTCATTTCATTTCTACTTTGTCTGTGGTCATCCCCTGTTCACTGGGGATGTTTGAAGGTGATCGGATACCATGCCTCTATTAATCTACTCATCTGGTCACACGTTCTGGACTATTGGAGAAACAGCAGGAAAGCCAGCTCACCAAGACCGTGATGAGTGAGGAGAAGGTGCTTTGGGTTGAGAGCACAGTCACTGAGCACTTGTAAGCTACATGAGGGAGTGGATCTTCAAGGGTGATTGGAAGCCACTGAAAGGCTCTCAACAGAGAGTCACAGACCCATGTGTGTTTTCAGACGAGCACCCCGGCTGTAGGTGGAGAATCGATTTGGGGGAGCAAGAGTGACGTCAGAGAGAGTTAGAGCCTGTCCTTCGGCTGCTGTGAAATAACTCCGACCCAGTGAGCACAGCACCTACTCGTCCCTAATCTGTCCTGTGGGAGCGCGAGCCATCTGGGGCTTTTCACGTGCCTCCAGGGACTTAAGACAGAGCCTCCCTCTGTCCTGTCGCTGAGTGACCCCGAAGGTAGCGACCTCATCCCCATGGCCTTGAATTAATAATAATCATGTCCCTGGGGCAGCCTGCAGGCACAGGCAGATCGGCAGAAAGAAAATGTGCCCCTTTCCATCCAGGACATGACCCGTCCCTGAAGGCAGCACGCCTGTTCCCAGCATGTCAGCCGTGAGCTCCGCCAAGGGGCCGCCTCTAGCTGCAGGTGAGGCGGGAGAGTGAGCCTTTCCCAGGGGCCATGCATCCCACCTAAAGTATTTTATGGTAGAAGAAGGAAGGAGCACAGACGCCATTTGGATGGCCCTGCGAACTGCGGTAAGGACAGTGGAGAAATGGCAAGGTGCGTCCTTGCAGGTACATCTTAGAAGGTACAGAGATAATTGGACTGTCCCATGCACCAGGCATAGGTGTGAAGGAAGGATGGGAGAAAAAACCCGACTTCTAGTTCTGGGCTCATTCAGAGAGCTGCCCGTCTATCTCCACAATCGACCCACAAACCTACAATGTTTAAGAGACCTCCCATTATGAAGTATCCCATGACTTCCGTTTTTCCACAAAGATCTTTGTACACATCTCCAAGTGATTCCTGTACATAAACTTTTAGGAATAAATCCAAATCAAAGGATATGAATCAATGGGTATATGCAACTTTGTAATTTTTTTAAATAGTAGTCTCCAAACTGCCTTCTGGCAGGTTTAACCTATTTAATTCTTCCTGCATATGAGGACACCCATTTTCCTGCAACTTTACAAATGTAGGATACTGAACTTTTTTTTTTTTATTTGACAGAGAGAGAGATCACAAGTAGAGAGAGAGAGAGAGGAGGAGGCAGGCTCCCTGCCTAGCAGAGAGCCCGATGTGGGACTCGATCCCAGAACCCTGAGATCAGGACCTGAGCCGAAGGCAGAGGCTTAACCCACTGAGCCACCCAGGCAGCCCCGGATACTGAAATTTTAAAATAGGAAATTTATCTGGCAGAAACGATACCTTATTATTGCCTTAATTTGCCCTTTTTTGGTTCCATTTGTAAATTTTCTCTCTCCTTTTTTTTTTTAAGATTTTATTTGTGCATGCATGCGAGAGAGAGAGTGAGCACACAAATGAGGAAAGGTGCAGAGGAAGAGAGAGAAGCAGACTCCCCACTGAGCAGGGAGCAGGGGTTCCGTCCCAGGACCCTGTGATCATGACCTGAGTTGAAGGCAGACGCTTAACCAACTGCGCCACCCACACACTCCCATTTGTAAATTTTCTTACCGAACATTTATTCTTACCCATTTCCTTTCCCTCTTGGGAATTCCATTTCTTGTTACTTTGTCATGGAAAAACCTTCTTAATTGTGGTAAAAACATGGAACATGAAATATGCCATCTTAGTCATTTTCAACTGTAGAGTTCATTAGTGTTAAATATTTTCACATGATGATGCAACAGATCTCCAGAACTTTCTCATCTCACAACCCTGAAACCCTACCCACTAAACACTAATTCCTCCTCCTACCCCCAGCCCAGCCCGTGGACACCACTTTCTCCTGTTTCTATATATTAGCGATGCTGGCCTTAACACTGGCATGTTCTTACAAATATTCTTCCCAGTTTTCCCTGTGCTTTCTAATCTCACAGATCATATATTTTAACAAGCAGAAGCTCAGGAGTGCTTGTTTAATTTTCATGCACTCAAATCCACTGATCTTTTCCATAATGGAAATCCTCCTCTCCCCCTA